AGAATGATTAGTGACATGAAAATAATCACATGATTTCAACCATATAATGATAAAAACTGGGTCTTACATATAAACAACAAAGCAATTATCATCTCACTCGGCCATGCCCTCAACATCATTGCAAGGTGTAAAAATAGTAAGAGGGACTGCCAGCCATTCATCATCATCCAAATCAGACTTATCCTCATAATAAGTCGAACCAACAGAATTGTCATCCATCGATGCTTCCAGGAGTGGGTACGAATGARTATCTCGGGCACCAACAGGACCTATGGCTGTGGCGATCAATTTGTTAACAAGAGAGCGCATCAAGGGAATCACACAACATCCACACAACGTCAGAATGGCTGTAACCACAGCAATGGAAATCAGAGCAGACGAGGCCAGAGCACGCCACCTGCCGAAGATAGCATTCATCCAGCTGTCCCACCCAGAGGTGTCAACACCAGAATGCTCCTTCATTAAGACATTGAGAGTACGAAGACCCTCAATGGCTTTGGTGATGCTGCCACCAGTGTGGGTGTTGTTAGGCAAGAAGACACAGCATTGCTCACCAAAGATGGAGCACACTCCCCCCTTTTCAGAGAGAAGCATGTCTATGGCGATGCGGTTCTGGAACGCCATCAGTGACGTCGCCGCCAGTTGCTCTGCGATGGCCCGGAAACCATACTCTGTAATATTTCCCAGTCTCTGAACGCTAAAATGGATGTAGTTAATTCTCGAGGTGTGCTTAGCAATTGTAATCTGAGGTAAAATACTCTCAAATCCAGCAGTTATTTCATTAACAAGTTTATATTCATCCGGAACACCCCTCGGAACACCGATCGCGTCAATGTATGTTGGATTGTGACCTGGAAGTTCAAGCGCAGCACGTCTGCGCCTGTTGTGGTGATTTGTCATCTCTAAGGCTGTGCCTAAATCAGCAAAAAGTTCACTAGCAGAGGTTGGATAAAGTGAAATTGGCATTAACAGTGTTACAATAGCTAACAGCCCTTTTGCVCCTGTTGGCAATTTGTCAAACAACCGATAACTTCCTCCCCACCACCAGATGTCACTCCTAGACAAAGGAATGAAAGAGGAACTGACAACAAGAGTTTCAGAACACCATTCAGCAGTCAAATTACTTATTTTTGCATGTCCAGTAGGAAAAGATATACAAGAGAAATTAGCTCTAGCTACCTGATTGGAAAAGATGGGCTTCTGAGCTGATGTGGGAGAAATAGGATAAACATGGTCAAAGAATTTACATTCAGTTTTCCTTGGAACGGTGTTTTCCATCACGTCCAGGATATAGGTGGAGGTCAAAGTTGCTGGAATCACCTTGAGAACAGGCCTGGGGTCGGATTTATAAAACTGGCGTACGCACAATTTGAGCCCAGAAACTTGCGTACGCCACTTTGTACGCCAAGGTTGTGATT